TCTTTCTTCTCACTGTCTCATATAACATCTTTTCTTTTATGAAACAAAACTATACTGCAAATGAAATTGGATCATACTTTGTACTTACTAGACTTGGTTAAATGTACTTTCAGTTAACTAGTGCTAATAAATCTGTTTCTATGGAAATAATGATAACTATGATTCTTCAGTAGGTGGTTGTAAGTGAAGCTGGTCATATTTAAGAACAAATCATTTTGTGACGAACAGACAAAAATTTGACAAAGTAAAAGGAACCAAATGATTTCTGTTTCTTTTCCTTCCTTTTCTTTTCCTTTTTTTTGGATAAATGATGAAATGCTTTCCTTACTCAGAGCTGTGAGCTTGGTTTTCTATATTAATTGTGAAGACCCTTTACTGTACTTCCTTGAATGCTCTTCCATACAGCTTTCACCTTTGCCTCTTAACACTCTCCTTTCTAGCTCTAGTTTAAAGCACTGACTTTTGCTTGTTCCCTTTGATGTAAAGAACTAGTCAGTAGTCCAATGGAATCATCATTTTTCTTTTCTTTTTTCTTTTTTTTTTTTTTCTGAGCTCTAAGAACTTTAGGTGCTGTTTATAGTTTTTCTTACTGTCCTCAGCTTTAAGAAGAATATATATATTTAACACTGTATTCTTCCATACATAACAATATACAGTGTACTGAAACATCCTCTACAAGGTTGACTAATTCTGCTTCCCATTCTCTTTCATACCACAATAACTAAATATTCAATGTTTTTATCTTGTCCAAAGGAACTTTGAGAATATTCGTTTGAGCAATCAGATTTTGTTATTGTTGTGAACCCAGTCACAACAGCAGCTTACACTCTTCAGGGAACAATCTTAAAAATCACCTTCTATAAAGTAAGGGCAGAGCTTCTTCTGTTATTGCTATTTTGTTTCTCTTTTCCTTGGCACTTTTTTTTGATTTTCATTTTCTCTCTTTAGGTTTTTACTTTCCCCAAAGATTATGAAGCTGCATGGAAAGCTTAACTTTATCATGCATAAATAAATAATATATGAAAATGGTGTTTATAATAATATATTATATAAAAATATAAATTTATATATAATATATAAAATATATTGTATATATATAATTTATTTAGATTCCTATATAGAAAGTATACCCAGGTGAAGTCACTATAAATAAATGAGTGCCTGGGAAGCTCAATGTATATCAAATCCCCTAAGAAGAAGATTGCTACCCAAAGATTTATGCTGAAACTCCTATTAAAAAAAAAAGTCTCCTTCCAATTAGAAAACAAAATTACATGATGATATTACCTTTTATTTGTATCTATATTTTCTTATTTTTTACTTAAAAGTCATACATATAGAATTGAAGTAAATAATACTCATGGAGATCTTGGGCAAGGAATAATGAACTACCAGAATGAAATACTTTCAGTAATGTCCTATCGGTTGATTACTGTTGTATAAACATGATATAGCTATAGTTTCATTAAATGCATATTATACTGAGATCCCTATTCATTTGCTCGAGCACCACAAAGTCCATATGAACCAATCCCTACTCTGAAGTTTATAATCTAGTGAAGAAGCACATTAAAATGAGAAATAAAGAATATAGAAATAAAAAGCATTCTAATTGGATGTAGAGAATAAATATAAAAATCACTAGAAAAAGATTTGGGTTTGAAGAATAGTTAGAGAGGTTGGGATATGTGGAAGATGTTGAGAATGGAAGTTATGGTTAAGCAGAGGCTGGCAGAGAGGCCTGAGGTAGTAAAACTAATGTGAAATGAGTGTGGTGGTTAAGGGTTGAGGAGATAAAGAGGTTTCCAATTTGCATAAAGAATTAGTAATGAAAAAAAGTATAAAATTGTTACATTATTAAAAGTGTGATCAAAGAGTGGGTGATCTTAAAATGTACTTGAAGGGATAGCCATAAAGGAACAAACTATGAAAACTAATGGTGATCATATTGAAGGAACATTTAAAAAGTAGGTGTGCACAAGACAGACTGACAGAGAGTAACTTCAGTCAGGAAGATCAGGTATGGGGAAAACAATGTTAATTTAAAGGTGAAGGTAGTCTAGACCATGTAGGTATATAGAGAGAAGTTAAAAGGCCAGCAGTTATTAACAGAGAAAAGCAAGATTTGGGGGTCTCAATCAATGTGGATGCTCTCCCACAGCCTTCCATGGCAGGTGCAGAACCTCTGTGTGAAGCACTCTCAACCACAAGTCCACTCTGAAAACTTAGAATGTAAGCTCCAAGAAACTAAGGTCTAGCCTGTAGTTTGTGTGTATGTGTGTGTGTGTGTGTGTGTGTGTGTGTTTTAACTTCTACACTGCCAGTGCCTAAAACAGAGCCTCACAACATGAGTTTAATCAATTTTTATTGAATATTTACTATTTTAAAATATATCTTAAAGCCCACCTTTCTTTTGAAGCTTTCCCT